CTCAAGTGGTGGCAAATAATCATATACATTTTGATACATTGGCTAACGACAAGGAGCTGAGCAGTGAAGAATATGCAGCCATGATTTCCAATTTCATAGAAGAATTTGAAAATAGAATCATAGAATTCTTAGAGTTAGAAGGGACTTTTAACAGTCTATCTGGTCCTGCTCCCCTGCAAAGAACAGGGACATCCACTGCCTGATGTCCTGAGCAGGTTGTTCAGAGCCTGGTCCATCCTGACCTTGAATGTCTCCAGGGATGGGGCTTCCACCACATCTCTGTGCAACCTTTCCTGCACCTCACCACCTTCACTGTAAAAGACTTCTTCCTTATACCCAAACTAAATCTCCACTCTCTAAGTTTGAAACCATTTCCCGTTGTCCTATCACCAAGACCTTGATAAAGAGTTTGTCCCCTTCTTTCTTACAGCTGCCCTTTAGATACTGAAAGGCTGCTATCAGGTCTCCCCAGAGCCTTCTCTTCTTCAGGCTGAACAGCCCCAGCTCTTTCAGCCTGCCCTCAAAGGGGAGGTGTTCCATCCCTGGGATCATTTTTGTGGCCTCATCGGGATGCGCTCCAAAAGATTCATGTTTCTCCTATTCTAAAGACTCCACATCTGTATGCAGCACTTCAGGTGAGGTCTTACCAGTGCAGAATAGAGGGGCAGGATCACCTCTCTTGACCTGCTAGCCATACTTTTTATGATGAAGCTCAGGTTGGCTTTCTGGGCTGCAAGGGCACGTTACTGACTCATGTCCAGTTTGCAATCCACCAGTACTCCCAAGTCCTTTTTGGTAGGGCTGTGCTCAATCCTTTCATCCTCCAGCTTGTATTGGTTGTGGAGGTTGCTACAACCCAGATGCAAGACCTTGCACTTAGATTTGTTGAATCTCAGGTTCTCCTGTGCTCACTGCTCGAGCCTGTCTAGGACGACATCCTGTCCATTGGGCATGCAAAATGCAGCCCACACCTTGGGGTTTCAAAACTGCCTTAAAAAAAATTATCAATTTACATTTTCAAGACCATTTTCAGCTGATATAAAGACACGACCTGCAAATTTGCAAATGGAATGTATAGAGTTGCAATCAGATATTCAACTCAGAAATCTGGACTTTCATAATCCCTGTCTTTACAGAGAAAAACATCCTTCGCTTCACAATCACACCTTACTCATGTCATCACTTTTTGGCAGAATGTATATTTTATACCATTATTGTCAAGAATAAAGTATAAGAAGAGTAAGATGTCATCAAAATTCTCTAATGAACGCCTTGAGAGCTCACTAAGAATTGCAGCTACTGCTATCAAACAAGACTGATTTGTTAGTTTCACAAAAACAGGATCAAATTTCCCACTAGATTTATGGTTTTTGTTCCTCTCTCTTTAAAAAAAAAAAAAAAAAAATATTTTAAGAAAAATATTTTAAATTAAAATGTTTTGTTACTTACATATTAATGATACTGTATATTTTAGGAGGGCTTCACTGAAAGTAATGCCTCCTGTTCTGTTATGTTGGCCCATAACATCAGAGGCGGATGTTGGTGGTATGGCAATGGAGGCTGAACCTTCCCACGAATGTTCCATTATATTTTGTTGCCATGTAACAGATGGAAGCAGAAGGGCAGTCTGACAAAATGGCATCTGACATGGAAGCTCATATGAAGCAAAGATGTGTCACTGAATTCCTGCATGCAGAAACATTCTTTGACGCTTGCTGAAAGTTTTTGTAGACCAAACAGTAGATGTTAGCAGTATGAGGCAGTGAGTGGTATGTTTCAACAGTGGTTATAGCAAACAAAGACAAGCCACTTTCTGGATGGCCATGCACAGCTGTCACAACACAAAATGAAGTGTCTCTATCAGCTTGTCCATGCAAATTGGCTGATTATGACCAGGGAACTGCATACAGATCTCAGTATTGGCTTCAGTGAAGTTACAAACAATGGTGACAATGTTGGAATATCACAAAGTTTGTGCCAGGTGGGTTCCACAATATAATTTGCAGGATTCAAAAATCAGGCAACTAATTACAGATCAATAACTTCAAATCATATATCTACTCTTAATAATAGATTACTATCATCTATTAGAATTTGATTTGATTATGAAAAGTGTTTTTGCAGTCTTCAATAACAAACATATTCTTTAAAATTCCAGTCTGTGCATGGACAGTTCAGAAACAAGACTAAAATTGATGTAAAATTAACCACAGAGTTAGATTGACAGTAGCAACATCGGAAAAGAATGCAACGTGTAGCATAAAGATTAAGGAAGAGCTGTGAAAAGCCTTGCTTTAAAACTCAAGTACATGATTATATTTTAACATGAGATTTGAAAGAACAACCTGTAGAAAATTTTAGAGTCAGTGAAATGTATGAAGGACGTTTGTCCACCCAAGAGAAGTGTAAAACATCAATTTATTGAGAGCTGTAAAAGAATTGTGCTCCAATTGCTCCATGGTGCCTTGGGAATTTTTTGTTCATACCACCCCTTATAGATTCATCTATTTTCAAAGAAAAAAAACCTCAATTTTACAAAGCTGCTGTATCATCTCAAGTATCATCTTGCCTAGATACTACAGTAATTTCATACATTACCATCAAGTTTATCAATGCAGCTAGCAAAACATCTGTTTGTACTTCGCAATTATGAGGGGGAAAAAAAAAAGTTCAGTCTCTTTAAAAGTGCAGAGCCTGAAGGTGCACAAATTCATGGGACCCAACTAGATCCATCCACAAGTTCCACAGGAACTGGTTGGTGAAGCTGTCAAACCTCTATCTATCATATTTGAAAGGTCATGGCAGTCTGGTGGAGTTCCCACTGACTGGAAAAAAGGAAACATAACCCCCATTTTCAAGAAGGAAAAAAAAGAAGATCCAGGTAACTACAGGCCAGTCAGTCTATGCCTGGTAAGATCATGGAGCAGATCTTCCTGAAGGCCTTACTAAGAAACATGGAAAATAAAGGTGAGGTGACTCATGGTAACTAACATGGCTTCACCAAGGGCAAATCAAGCTTGACAAACTTGGTAACCTTTTGTGACTGATTTACAGCATCAGTGGATAAAGGAAGAGCAGCTGAGGTCATCTACCTGGATTGCGCAAAGCATTTGATACTGTCTCACATGACATCCTTATAAAGGATTTGCCAAATTAGAGAAAAATGGATCTGATGGATGGACCACTCTCTGGATAAGGAATTGGCTGGAAGGTCACAGTCAGAGAGTTGCATCAAGAGAAGCATGACCAGAAGGTTCTCATGAGATCCCACCTGGAGTACTGCATCCAAGTCTGTGCCCCCCAACACAAGAAGGACTTTGAGCTGTTGGAGTGGGCCCAGAGGAGGGCCACAAAGATTATCAGAGGGCTTGAGCACCTCATCTACAGGAACAGGATGAGAGAGTTAGGCCTATTCAGCCTGGAGAATAGAAGGCTCTGGAGGGACCTCATAGCAGCCTTCCAGTACCTGAAAATGGCTCACAGGAAGGCTGGGAACAGACTTTTTATAAGGACATGTTGTGACAGGACAAGGGGAAATGGTTATAAATATAAGAGAGTAGATTTTGACTGGATATCAGGAAGAAATTCTTACTGTCAGGGTGGTGAGACACTTGAACATGTTGCCCAGTGTGGCTGTGGATGCCCTGAAAGCATTCAAGGCCAAGTTTGATGGGGCTTTTAGTAATCTGGTCTAGTGAGAGATATCCCCACCTATAGCAGGGTAGTTGGAACTAGATGACCTTAAAGGTTTCCCTTCCAACCCAGACCATTCCATGATTCTATGAACACCACATTTCTTGTCTAAGTACTACTTTCCAACAAGGGTAAAGAAATGCCAGAGCCTCATTAATTACCTATGCTTAGTCCTTTTTTTTAAAGTATCATTCTATAATAAAGATCTGTCGCTGAACAAAGATCCTAAATACAGAACAAACAGGTACTAATAATTCATATCTTCTCATGCCATCAGCAGATTACCACATAACTAATACTACATGTAGCTTAAAGCAAGAAAATCCATTTTTTTTCTCCTTCTGCTGAGTTAATCTTATTATTACTTATTATTACTATATTATATATATTTTTTACAGATTATAATATAAAACAACTGTCTAGGGTAAAAGCAATACCAGTGTTGATTAGCTCTCTGGTTAGTATTCATTAATGTGTTCTATTATGCACATTTATAAAATTGCTTGGTCTGTGTGCCCATGGACATATTGAAGAGACTTAAGAGCTACAGCTTTGCACTTTGCAACTTCAAAACAAATACAGATAGATTTCAATTTATCTGGAACACAAATGTTTTATATTCATTAGGGACACTAGTAAGTCCTGTCTTCCATATGGTGAAAAAGACATCCAGCACTAAACAAAAGTGTTGTGAAATTGGGAAAAAAAAAAAAAAAAAAATTGTTAGTGGAATTATTCTTCCATGAAGTACTATCATGAATTTTCACTGCTGTCATAATTGAATGATAATACAAAGGCAGGTGAAAGGCTAAAGCAAAATCTTCTTTCACTGATTGCAGGATATTTTAAGTAAAATAAATAAGAACTTTTTCCTCAAGATTGCCAAAATGTCACCATACTCATAGAGATTGGAAAGGACCTTTGGAGATCATCCAGTCCTACCCTCCTGCTAAAGAATTTTTCTAGAGTAAGTTACACAGGAAAGTGTCCAGGTGGGTTTTGAATATCTCTGGAGAAGGAGACTCCACAGACTCTCTTAGCAGTTTGTTTTAGCATTCTGTCACCCTCAAAGTAAATAAGTATTTCCTCTTGATCTTAGGGAAATTCCTATGTTCCTGTGTTAGCAAACCTAGCCGGTGATATTTGAGACATAAAATAGACATGTCCAACCTGTTATGTTCTAAAGAACATGCACATTTTTAGTAGGTGTTTTCAAGATATTTGAGGTCATCAGGTGTTGTTGTTTTTTTTTTAAGAACAAACACCATTTTAGAGTGACAGGTATCAAAACCAAAACTAACACTTACATGATAAATTCTGTCAGGTTGCACCATTTTTTGGAGTCCACTTTCTTCATCATCCCTTCAAAGAACTTTCCACAGACAGGCAACTTTTCTAACATGAGAGATTCATTGCAGAGATTAATCTGTTGATGCACACCTAGGTAAAATCAAGTATTGAAATAGAAGAACCATGAATGCATGATTTGCAAACTCTTCCTGCTTGACAATTAATGTTGTAGACATAACATTCAAATTTCTAAACAATTTTAGATAAAATATGCATTTACATAAATTTATACAAAATGTCACTCAGTACATGACTATCTAAAGTGTTATCCATTAGATCTAATACAGAGAAATCTGTCTAGAAACTTTTGAAATCTTAACTTCTCCTTTTACTAACATACTACAACCCATCTACACTTATAATTTAAAGCCAACTGGAGTTTATTCATAGTGTAGAAAGTACTTTCTAAGCTTATACAAATGTGTCCCACTGAGATAGAAACATTTGCAAGAAGCATTTGATTAGCTCTGATTAGCTCTCATAGTCGCTAATGAGATTTTTTCCTTAGTATAGCCATCAAATGAAATACAAGGGCTACACTGAAAGTTTCCCGTTTTATTCTGTTGGCCTATAACATCAGAGGCAGATATTGGTGTTCTGGCAGCAGAGGTTGAACCTTCTCACCAATATTCCGTTACATTTTGTTGCCACATAACAGACAGAAGCAGATCAGTAGTCTGACAAGTTGGCGTCTGAAGCGAAGGCGTGGAATTTAATTCCTCCATGCAGAAAAAATTTGCACCCGTTGACATTCTTTGACACTTGCTGAGCATTTATGTTGACCAAACAGTGAACATCAGCACAGTGCGGTGGTGATGTACGCTCAATGAAAGATAAGCCACTACAAGCCAGAGTCAAAACAGCAATACATGGAGTGACAATGTGAGCTCCCCAGTGAATAAAAAGTTCAAGACACAGCTCCCAGCTGGTAAAACGATGTGTGCTGTCATGTGGTATAGGAAAGGGATGATCCTTTTGCATATCCTGGAACCCGGACAAACCAGGTCAGTTCTGACTTCTACATCACAATGCTGATTAAGCGAGAGATTTGCAGTACCAGAATCAGGCCAGTGAAGAAGACAGCCTTTCTTGTGCAATACATTAACATCCGGTGCCATCCCAGCTTGAAGACTGTAGAGCACATTGTCAGTCTTTGCTGGTTTGTCCTACCACACTCTGTATATTCTGGATTTGTCACCTTCTGACTTCCATCTGTTTGGCCAATGACTTCAGCTAGCGACGTCACTGACCCACTAATGCCATATGTCAAGTGAGAGACAGCTATCACATCTATTGGAAGCATGAAAACATGCTTTCGAACAGCAGCAGGCCCATAACTGGATAGCCTATGCTACATTTTCTATCTCATACTGGCCACAAACTTTTCCATGTGTACAGCTAATTGAGACCAACCAAATAAACCCCTTACGTCTGACCATGCCTTCATTATACTCAAAGACAGTGCTCTTATGGGTGACACTAAGCCCAGGGGAAAAAAAAAAAAAAGAAAATAAATCTAGACTAGAATTAATCACCATTGACAAAAATGGTGAAAATTATTAAATAAGGGCACTGTAATTCTGACCTCTGAAACTTAGCATGAAACTCTGAATCTTTCTATTTAAACATTCCCACCAATTCATATGCAGTTATAAGTTATACTTTCCAAAACTAGATGTGTAGATGAATATTAAAGCCGGGCAGAATCCAAAACCAGATATACAAGTTGTAGATCTGTCAACTTAAATTTCACACTGATGTTTAGACAAAAGTTAGGCAAATTGGACTTCTCAGGCAGGGTAATCTAGACTGCCAACTATTACTTTATAATCCAACAGAATACAAGTTTCTTCTCCATTATGTAATTTGCACTGAAAATTTGTTCCAGCTGTTTCCCAGTGAGATTTTTAAAATGGATTTTCTATGGCTTTGGTATATTTAGTGGTTTCTTTTTAGAACTTCAGTATTTTACAGTGTTGTAAAAGAAACTCCAATAGAGACATCTGATAGAAACTAGTGTCATCATGTTACTATCTAAATCTAAATTAAAGGAGTTCAAAATTATGCACAGTTCTACAATTTTACCATTCCCATTGCGACTGACATTTACAA